TCCCTGAGCAGGGAGACCAAGACAGGACTTGATCCCAGGACCCCAGGATCATGACCCGAGCCCAAGGCAGATGCTTCACCAACTAACCCACCCAGGCGCCGCTTCACTGTTTTAAGTTTTGCACTGTATTTTCATGTTGCTTATATGTCCTTTTAAAGATGTGTTGTTCTGGTCTTCATTCTTATTTTCCCCCAAATGAAGTATTTTCCCATGATCAGAATCATTATTGGTTTAACCTGCACTTCAGAGGACTTAGGAACTTGCCATAGATATCCTGGAAAGAATAATTTTTTTAATAATGCAAATCACTAAATAATGTGGGCTGTTATTCTGCTAGCTATAGAAAATTTGAAGAGTATTGATGAGGAGGGTCAAGGTTTAGGCGTAGTTCATCTAAAACTCTCTAGTTTACCGAGTAATACAGGATAGATTACTAAATCTCTCTGAGCCTTTGCCTCCTTATTTCATAAGATGGAGATAAAATGCAAATCTCTCTCCATTGTTCTAGGGTTGAAATTTAAAGCACCCTCAATACAGAGTCTCAGTAAATGCAAATTCTCTTTTTATAGCAAGATTTGATTTTTTAAAAATTCAAACTTTCTGCATACCTTCCTAAAGCAAAAGTTCTTTTCTAGGCTTTTCCCAGCTTTTAGTGTAAGGGGCATGAACATTGGTTCTGAGTGCAAGAAAGCTGTAGGAAGAGGTCAGCACAAGGTGTGAGGGAAGACCAGGTGACTGAAAAGGTCTATAATTATTATGACATTTGAAGGAAGTTATCGGCAAAATAACGCTAAGAAGCTTTTAAGCACTTAGGAGGTTTGTTGCTTGCTACAAATTGATTAATAGTCTCCTTTAGATTTACTAGTGTAGATGGGAAAACTATTTTTAGATTGTTTTGAAAAGACTATTCCAGTGTTAGAAATGCCATACATTGTTGAAGTGATGTTGAAAGAAGTAAATTCTGCCTTCATGGACTAGCAACTTTCCCTACCTACTTCGATGAGAAAAAAAGATATGCTAGATTTTTTTTTCTCAGTTAGTCTTAATATGAGAATCGACTAACCGTTGATGACTACATTGCATTTAATTTTCAGAGTGAAATGGAGAGAAATCAAACATCATCATCCTTTTTGTAGAGTAGTTTAGAACGTTTGGTTTTTCACACTGAGATGGCATTTTGTGAGCTTGATAGGTTTGCTCAGGAAAAAACCTATTGTTAGGAAAGAAGTAATCACCAATTATTACGGAGTGCCCACCCTGCACTAGGCCACATGTTAAATATTGCAGGGGCTGCAAAGGAAGTCTTCTGATTCTTATGGCAATACTGAAACTGAAAGGATAGGATAGTAAGAGTTCCTTTCCTGCTTTTCTTTTTTTCCTTAGAGTGACTTGGCATAATGGGATCTTTCCAAAACACTCAGTTTTCATTGATAAAGCTCTTTGTTTTTACACTGACATATTTTGTATAACACTTTTGTTTAGTTACAATTCATGTACAGTAAACTTCACCTTTTTGAAGTGTCCAGTTCATGGTTTTATTATATCCACAGGTAGTGGCAAGATTCCAGAACATTCCATCTCTCCCCAAAGAAACTATCCATCAGCAGTTACCCTCATTTCCCTCTGCTCCGAACCCCCAGCAACTGCTGATCTACTTTCTGTTTCTATAACTGGCGTATTCCGGACTCCATTCACATACCATAATGTTTTCGAGATTCCTCCATGTTGTAGCATGTATTGGTGATTTATTTTTATTGCTGAACAAAAGTCTGTACCACATTTTATTTATCCATTCATCAGCTGATGGACATTAGAGTTTCCTTCTAGCTATTAGGCCTTTCCCCCCATATTTAATTTTTTTAACTAATAGAATGGAATTTTCAGAACAGTTTTAGGTTTACAGGAAAATTGAGCAGATAGTACAAGATAGAGATACAGATAGTAGATGTTCCCATATCCCCTCCCCAGTCATTGAATGTCTTACAATAGTATAGCACATTTGTTATAATTAGTGAACCAATATTGATACATTATTATTAATCAAAGTCCATAGTTATTCAAGTATCCTAAGGTTGTTTTGTGGGTTTTTTTTTTTTTGAAGATTTTATTTATTGAATAAAATGAGTGAGAGAGGGAACACAAGCAGGGGGAGTGGGAGAGGGAGAAGCAGGCTTCCCACTGCGCAGGGATCCCAATGGAGGCTCAATCCCAGGACTCTGCAGTCATGACCTGAGCCCAAGGCAGGTGCTTAATAACTGAGCCACCCTGGCGCCCCCAAACATCCTTAGTTTTTACCTAGTCTCCTTTTTCTGTCCCAGGATGTCACCCAAGGTGTTAGTTGTCATGTCTCTGTAGACTCCTCTTGGCTGTGACCATTTCTTAGACTTTCCTTGTTTTGGTGACCTTGATAGTTTTGAGTATGGTCTTTTTTTTTTTTTTTTTAAAGATTTTTATCTATTTGAGAGAGAGAGCAGGTGCGCGCCTGCCCACACAACCTGGGGGGAGGGGAGGAGGGAGAGGGAGGAGCAGTCTCCCCAGAGAGCCACCCAGGCGCCTGAGGATGGTTTTGATTAGGTACATAAGGTGCTCCTCTCTTGGAATTTGTCTGTTTTTCTCCTGACTTCATGGGTTTTGGGGAGCGAGATCACAGAGTGCTATTTTTATCACATACCAAGGGTATATACTATTCACATGGTTTATGACTACTGATGTTAATTAACATTTATCCCCCGATGACCCGGCTGAAGTGTTTGTCCGGCTTCTTCACTTGTAAGATTATTCACCGGCTTCCCTTGCCCCCACACTGTAGTCTGGAAGGACGCCACTCAGCGTGCCCACCACAGTAAAGGAGTAAGTGTACGCCACCTCCTCAAGGGTGCAGTATCTATGTTACTGGGAATTCTTCTGCATGGGAGGCTTCCTTCTTTTCCCTCATTTATTTTTGGGGGTCTTGTTTTGTTTTGTTTTAAAGCAAGCTTTATGCCCAGTGTGGGGCTTGAACATGGGACCCTGAAATCAGGAGTCACATGCTTTACTGACTGAGCCAGCCAGGTGCCCCTCCCTACCCCCATTTATTAATTTACTTGATCGTTAATTTTTATCAGTATGGATGCTTGAATATTTACTTTATACTTTGGGTTGTAATCTAATCTTTCCTCAAATTGTCCCACCCCCACCAGAGTGGTTGGGGGTGCGGGTGGGAGGGGGGCTCTTTCATTTGTCCCCTTCACCCTCTCTGAGAAACCTCCAAGAATGGAGGTTGTTTCAGTTGTTTTGTTTTTGCATGCCTTTCCTTTTCTTCTTTCATTTTTAAATCACTCAAATCCCCATAGAAGTTGACTCTAGGAAAACTAACAATACTCCCTTTCCAGGTCTTCTGGATTCTTCTGCTCCTGGCAGAAAGGTCCTTTACCTGCAGGGGGTTGACGGGGAGGCAGCTGGGCACCTGAGCTTGAATAAGACACCTGCTGCTGCCCTCCTGGAGCTTAGTTTAGTAGATCACACAAGTAATAATTGGTGACTCTGGGATTCAAACACAAATCGGTTAGGCTCAAAAGTTGTCATTTGTCCTTCTTCAACCTACATTTGACTGAGAAGCCCAAGAGGGTAAGAACCTCAGGAGTAATGGATAAGCTTTTAAAAGACAGGAGAGAAAACAGTTCTCAAAAATTTTATCCTGAAAGGACTAGCTAGTTTGAGCTTTTTTTTTTTTTGAGCTATTTTGTTTCGTTTTGTTGTTATATTTTGCCCTTGTAGCTGGCTTCTGATTTTTTCCTGAAAATTCATTAGCATGAATCCAGAGTAGAAGGTTCATTCTGTGACAATCAATGCCATAATACAACGTTTTCATGCTGCATTTTTCTTAGATGCCTTCTCAAATTTTCACTAGCGGGTGGGTATTAAATTATGAATATATACTGTTGGTCAGCATTTCAGCATAAGATCCCCTTATATAAGACACAATATACGCCACTGCTGCCGTAGTCTCTGAGCAGATTTAAATAAAGCCCATCTAAAAATCCTCTTCCAAGGACGTCAAGTGCGTTCACCGGCTTCGCCGCCGGGTCGCTCCTCCCGTGCAGGGAATAACCTAGTCACCCGGTGAAGTGCTGGAACTGCAGCTCTTCCTTTGCCTTATTTAAGTTTCAACTTTAGTATTATTACAGTAAAGGTGATTGATGTTGGCTCTAAAAAGGGGAGGAGGATAGAGCACATTGGGAGCGACGGACTCTCACGCTGGTGTATCCCTTGGTGTTTTGAGACTATTTTTCAGAAAACGGCATTTTCCACGCTGGCTCTCTACTAGTCAGTCTGTGGCAAAATCAGTCGTTGGTCATGGCCATTTTTAAAATAAAGATTTTATTTATTTATTTGACAGACAGAGATCACAAGTAGGCAGAGAGGCAGGCAGAGAGAGTGGAGGGAGCAGGCTCCCTGCTGAGTAGAGAGACAGATGCGGGGCTCGATCCCAGGACCCTGAGATCAAGACCTGAGCCGAAGGCAGAGGCTTAACCCACTGAGCCACCCAGGTGCCCCGGTCATGGCCATTTTTAAAAAGAAAAAAAAAAGATCAGTGATCGCTTGTTTCATGAAACCCATTTTAGTTATAGAAATCTATCTATCCAAGATCATGACATAAAACGTATTTCATACGGCGGTTCAGTGTTCAAAGAAGTTTGAGAATCAGTGGTGCAAGGGGACTTTCTTTAGCTCTCCTGCTTTCTTTCCACCCTGAACTTCCATAACTTAATGCCAAGGACATTTCAGCCTTTTCTGGAAAGCTGAGCCGGGAAGAACATTTTGTGGAGCTAAGGTGCGGAGTAGAAGGGACCATGCAAGCCTTCCTCGAACCCCCCTGAGCTCACGGATGTACTTATTAGGACATTAAGAATGTTTCAGTGCATCATTGTGGATGAGGACCCATGAAAACGGGTGAATCACCAGCTATGAAACACGAAAACGTACTTTTACTGTATGTTTTACACATTGTTTTACAGTCAAGCACCAAAGACACTTACTGTCCCCCCACCTTTTCTGTCCTCCAGGGGAGAGGCCTGAGTGGAAGTAGCCCTAGATTGTTGGGTACCATACTCTCCTGCCTCTCCTTTATGTGCACGTTTCCGAAGGGCTTTAACAGCGCATCTTGGCTGGCGGGTGGGTGTAAGAAGGAGGAGGCTGAAGGTTCTCGCCCTGTCGGGTAACGTGCAGAGGACCCTCACCATTGGACTGCGTCGGGAGGGAGTGGGAGCTCTCAGAGGTAGGGGAAGAAGGGGTATAAAGGGGAGGGGGAGCCAACCACACAGGGACTCCAAGAAGCCTTAATAAAAGGCAAAGTGCATCTTTGCTGGACGGCGTTGGAAACGAGGAGAAACCAACAGAAAAGGACAGCACCAAAAGGGCAACCGCAAGGGTTTCTGCTTTTTGGAACACTCTTAACCCAGGGCTCCAGGCCAGTCCCCCCACGAGCCAGGTGAGCCGCCGCCACCTCCCCGGCGTCTGCGGGACCTGCTCCTCCATGAACTTGCCAAAACCCGAGCGCCTGCGCCCCACACCGCGGCGCAGCCTCCCAAGCTCCGACGGGGAAGACGGTGAGATCGACATCCTGGGAGAGGAGGAAGATGAAGACGAGGAGGAGGAAGAGGAAGACGAAGAGGCGGAGGAGAGCCAGCGGCTCCTAGAGGAGCTGCAACCGCCGCGGACGCAGGAGGCGCGGCGGGGCGCGGGCGCGCTTCCCCGAGAGCCCCCCGAGAGCGGCGGCGCCCCGAGCGACTCCTCCAAGTTCGGCGCCAAGTTCAGGGCATCGAGCGGCCCTGCGGCGGCCTCTGGGGACGGCCCGCAGCCGGCGAAGCCCCCCTACTCGTACATCGCGCTCATCACCATGGCCATCCTGCAGAGCCCGCACAAGCGCCTCACGCTCAGCGGCATCTGCGCCTTCATCAGCGGCCGCTTCCCCTACTACCGCCGCAGGTTCCCCGCCTGGCAGAACAGCATCCGCCACAACCTCTCGCTCAACGACTGCTTCGTCAAGATCCCCCGCGAGCCCGGCCGCCCCGGCAAGGGCAACTACTGGAGCCTGGACCCCGCCTCCCAGGACATGTTTGACAACGGCAGCTTCCTCCGCCGCAGGAAGCGCTTCAAGCGCCACCACCCGCCCCCGGGAGTCCACCTGCACCACCCCTTGGCCCTGCCCGCCGTGCCCGCCGCCCTGCACGGCGCTTACCCGGGCCTGCTGCTCGGGCCGCCCGCCCCGCCGCAGCCAGTCCCAGGGCCCTACCCCGCCGCCGCCGCCGCCGCCGCCGCCGCCGCGAGCCGCCCGTGCGCGCTCCTGCACCCTCACCCGCTTCGCTACCTGCTGTTGTCGGCCCCGGCCCGCGCCGAGATGCCCAAGAAAGCGCAAGGCGCCGACCTGGCCACCCCAGGCGCGATCTCGGCCTTGCAGCCCTCTCTGCGCTCGCAGCTTCGGGAGGAGGGCAAGGCGCGGGCGGCGCGGCTGGGAGACGGATGCTCACCCTTCAGTATCGAGAGTATCATGCACGGGGTCCGGGGAGGGGGCACCAGGGCCGCGCAGAGTCCGCCCCCGACCCCGTGGGGCTACTGCCACCTGCTGCAGCGCCCGTCGTGCCTGTGGCACCACCGGGCCGCTCCCCCTTTGCTGCACGTGTCCGCTGCGACCGCCGCGGCCGCTGCCCGAACGATTTTAGGGCAACAGCAGCCGCCGCCGCAGCCCCAGCAGCAGGAACGTACCCGCGGCTGCACTCCCAGCGAGGGCGCTCCGCTGGGCCAACACCTGTCCGCCCCCGCGGCGCTGCTGGGGTGTCAGCCTGGAGCAGAGGGCTCTCGGCTGACCACGGTGGCCAGCCTGTCCGGCAGAGAGGGTATCTTGCCAGCTTTTTGAGTAGCATCCACACCTTGTCCTGGCGCTGACTCCGCCGGGCGCACCTGCAGCCAAGGCATAGCGCAGAGCGAAGGGGGTCCCGCTCTTTTGGTCTTCGGCTCTCACCCTCACCACCCTGCACGGCAGGGACAACGCGGATGCATCTGAATCCCTCAGCAGAACAACCACTAACTGAACCATACAGTTAGGGTCGCTGCAAAATATTTACAAAGCTCAAGTTGGATGCTGTTCAGACAACCGGGACATAAACTTCGGCTGGAGGCAACTCTTGTCCTTTATTTTCCAGCCTCCAGTTGTGGCTTCCAGGGCTTTTCCGGTTACACATTTCCAGAGGAAGTTCGACAGTGAGTGGGACATTTTGTTCTGGTAAAAAAAGAAAGAAAGAAAAAGAAAATATAAATGTCCAATGCACAACTTGTTTCCCCTTGTTCACTCCCTAGAAATTGTAAATATTAGTCCCAAGTCAAATGCAAAATACTTATGATCTTTATGAAATGGATGTGTAATATGGAATTTTAATTTTGACACATTTGTTTCTGCTCTGTGTGTCTGATGTGCCACCTTCTGCGGAAAGATGTTAAAATCAAAAGCTAGCTATATAGACTAAATAAAATGCGAAATCATTACACTACGTCGTTTATTTCATATTATGTCTCAATAATTGCTTTCCAGATGGAACTCCTTTCAAAACTTAGTTCTTGGGGCACCTGGGGGGCTCAGTCAGTTAAGCATCTGCCTTCTGCTGGGGTCCTGATCTCCGAGTCCTGGGATCAAGCCCTAGGTCAGGCTCCCTGCTCAGCAAGGAACCTGCTCCCTCTGCCCTTCCCCCTGCTTGTTCTCTCTCTCTCTCTCTCTCTCTCACACACACACACACACACACACACACTTTCTCTCAAATAAATAAAGTCTTCCAAAAATAAAAATAGGGGCGCCTGGGTGGCTCAGTGGATTAAGCCTCTGCCTTCAGCTCAGGTCATGATCTCAGGGTCCTGGGATCCAGCCCCGCATTGGGCTCTCTGCCTGCTTCCCCCTCTCTCTTTGCCTGCCTACTTGTGATCTCTCTCTCACTGTCAAATGAATAAAAAAAAAAAAAATCTTAAAAAAAAACTTAGTTTTTTCCTCCCAGTTAAACAATTCAGTTTTATAATCCATATTCATTATAGGTATCAGAAACAATTTTAGAAATGGCTTTCAAAACTTAGATAGTTGAAGTTGAAAAGGTCCTGAGTTTTAAAATAATGGGAGTCAGTACTTATGAAACTGATAGAAGAGAAAAAATTGGAGGAAACTGTAAATATATTCTCCATTTGTTTTTCTTTTTTCTAGAGACATTGATTTTTCGTCTGAATAAAGTGGAGCACCGTTTGAGATCAATACAGAATGTAGTGGCCAACATTTACTAGGGAAAATTTTCAAAAGCAGGGTGGGGGAGGGCGGGGAACAAGTATTAAATGAAGCAATTGGAATTTGGACATTTACAATTAAAAAAATTTTCTCCCTAGATGGATGACTTCTAAGGGCTTATAGTCCATTTCTTTAGAACAGAAAGAACTTTGTTGTTGTTTCTAATAGAATTTCTGAAAGAACTTTGCAACCAGAAAGGTTTCACTGTCATTTGGCTCCAGGTGACCCGGTGGGAGGGAAACCAGTGGAAGGTGCCCATCAGGAAATACTCTCCAGAGAAAGCAAGTTTCTAGAGACCCTGCAGCTCTCCCTGTCTGGAGGAGGGGTCCTTTTCAGAATTGCATTCCTTGGCGCTTTAAAATTCACTTGGTGAGTGTGATAAGGTCCTTCCCCTTCATCGACTCCGCTGTTGCAGCTGTGAATTTCTAGGGAAGACACATTTTTACAGCTGTATAATTGGTCCACTTTTACCCCAGTTCCTTATCTCCTCCCCAGCACTTAGAAATTCTTCGCAAGTCCTGCCTGCTCTCCTCACCTACTCCACGCTTGCAGTAGGGCAGTTCTGGGGGGCGTCCTGGAAAGTTCTCAAACCCAACCCCCGGTAGCAGCTGAGACTCGAACTTCCATTCTCCTTCCGCCCTGCACGTGCTGTGCAGCCTTAGTCCTCGCTGCCAGTACCGCCCCACCCTCGCCCCAGCCACCTTCCGTTCTCAGGTTTTGCCCAGTTTTGTCAGACCCTCTGCACCCCGGGCTTTAAGATCCGATCATCGTACTGGGCAGGTCTGGGGTGACCTGTGTTTGACAACAAGCTATAGTAAAGAGAGCTTATTTCCTGCCAAGAACAATCCCGTTCAACACCCCCCCCCGCCCCCCTCCGCTTTCGATTGAGTGCAAGACCCTCTCCAGGCCTATATGCGCTCTTTTATTCGGTCAACAAACTTCGGGAGCGATGGGTAGAGCCGCCGCCGAGCCTAGTCGACTCTCCGATCTGACGCCGCTTTCTTCCTTCCCTTTGCCCCAGGCGGGACCAGCACCGTCACGAACACGGGTGTCTGAGGGTCAGAACCCGGCCCAAGCCGGCCCCCGGCTCCTACTAATGAAACCATATCGAACACGATATTTCGAGAAAAACGTCGATTCGGTGGAAGAGTAGATTAAACATTGTTCTCCAGTTGAACTCGGCGACTGCGTGGACAGGTCGGGCCTCGCGGGGGCCCCACGAGCTGCCTCTCCCGACCCCCCAACCATGGCCAGCGCCAGCCGGGCTGTGAGGACGAGCCTGGGCGGAGGCCTCACTACCCGCGAGGCGGCGCGGCGGTGCAGGTGGGTCTGCGCTGGGGCGTCCCGTGCCTCCCGGGGTCCCCGCGGCTCAGGGCCACAGCGCAGGTCCGCTGTAAACGCCCGCGCGCACGGCACAGAGCTTCGCAGTTGCGCGGAGGGAGCCGGAGGTGGGGTTGCCCTCGACCTTCGGGCTCGTCTTCTGGAGACCCGGCTGACTGGACATTTCCAGAGCTGGGGGAGCGGAGTTTACCGGCTGGGAGGCGCAGAGAGGCTGGGGCGAGGGCAGGAAGGAAAGCGACTCCCGCTGGGGTCCCACCGGCTAATAATAGCACTAATAACTAATAACAGTAAGGGCAGCGGCGAACCGTTCTCCTGGGCTCCCTGTCCGTCTGCCAGGCACTGGGCTCCCTGTAACCCTCCCAGCACTCAGTGGAGAAGACACGTTGGAAGCCCCATCACACAGATAAGTTTGCGTCTTAGAGAAACTGGGAGACTCGCACCGGGCCCTATTTGGTTTCTGAACCACTAACCCAAACTGCGCCCACGACTTTCTCCTGCTGGGCCTCGGGTGGGTCGCGGAGACCGAGGCCTAAACGGACCCAAGTTCCCGGCTTCCTGCCCCAGGCCCGGCGTGCCGGGAAGCGCATTTGTCCCCCCAGGATCCCAGCCGCCCGAGGTTCGTGCCGTCGCTTCCCCAGCCCAGCGCCGTGCGCTCTACTCCGCGCTCCTCTAGGAAGCGCTCGGGCGGAGAGATGTTCGGGAAGGTCACGGCCGGGACTGCACCTGGCTGCGCCCGGGTCCGCGCTGAGCTACCACACTCGACCCAAGGGAGCCAGCCAGGAGGCAGAGGAGTCATGAGGATGCGTTCTTCCTCCACAGTGGGATTTGCGTTCTCTTGCCGCTGGTGGGTCCCAAGAACGCACGCACGCCTGGACGTAGTTCTCGGCGGTGCTGCAACCCCCGGTCCGCCTACGGGCCCGCAGCCGCCTCCCCCTCCCTGCCGCCAGCCCTCTGCGGTGGAGTTAGGCAGATGGCTGCCCGGTGCTGCCCCGCCAGGCCACAGTTCCTCCCGGGAACCTTGACCCTGCGCTCCATTTCGCGCCCGGCGCCAGGCCCTGGTTCTGGACTGCGCGGTAGGGTTGTGATGTGGCGCGGCGGTAACGTTCCCCGCTTCCTGCTCCTGCATACTTTGGGTGTCCCAAGTGTCTCAAAAATATTCATGGGAATGTAGCTAATGTAGCTCTCATCTCCAGGCTGCTGAAACCAGACGCCCCCCGCTCCTTTCATTTGGCTTTCATATGCCTTAGAAGCCATAAGGGCAGAAAATCTAGAGAAACTACAGAAACTACAAGGAAAGGGGGTAAGGTCAGAACGGCAGTAAGGACTACAGGGCTGGGAGGGAGATGAAGCGATTTTCGGCTTTTGAGTTTTTGCACCGATCCTTAACCACATTTCACTGAAAGTCTGAGGGGACTGGGCTCTCATCCCCCCCCCCCCCCCGGCATTTAGGAAGAATGTTCAGAAATGTCTTCCTACGTGAATATCTGATTCCAGTCTGATGTCCCCTACCTGTAATTTCTGCAAAAATGGTTTAGGCTTAATGGCTGTTTTTTCATACCAGCACTGAAATTATTTAAGTGTTCCAAGTATTCAGTGATTCCATATACATCACTTGGTTCAAAGAACTTACATAGATGGTAGCTAATAATACCAAAATCTGCCCCCCCCTCAAAAAAACACCACCACGGAAAAACAGGTGTAGGAAAAGTAAGAGTTTGAGAGTCCAGTGTAAAATTCAGTTCCACACCAGTTCCCTGTTGCTCAACTATTTAACATAATCAAGGTTTGTATGTCAAAATGGATGCTTGTAAAGGAAATACCTAGATATAAACTTCATTTTCTTTCTAATTAATTAATTAATTAATTTGACAGATCACAAGTAGGCAGAGAGGCAGGCGGAGAGAGGGGGGGGAAAACAGGCCCCCTGCCAAGCAGAGAGCCCAACGTGGGGCTCCATCCCAGGACCCTGGGATCATGACCTGAGCCAAAGGCAGAAGCTTTAACCCTCTGAGCCACCCAGGCGCCCCTGAGCTCCCTTTTCTTATTTGTTCTGGGAATGCAAGTGTATGTTTATTGAAATCAGTAATTTAGAACATTTGGGGGGTAGTTAATGATTTATTCAGCTCATGAATTGGTTTCTATTCCCAAATTTGGGCAAAGAGAACAATGAATTTAAATTAAGAGGGGTGACTGGGTGGTTCAGTTGGTTAAGCCACTGTCTTTGGCTCAGGTCATGACCCAGAGTCCCAGGACTAAGTCCCCCTTTGGGCTCCCAGCTCCATGGGGAGTCTGCTTCTCCTTCTGAACTTCTACCCTCTCATCCTCTCTCTCTCAAATAAATGAATAAAATCTTTTTAAAAAATAAATTAAATGTAAGAGATTTCCTTCTGTCAGGTAATTTTGCTATGAATAATTATGTCTATACTTACAGCCGTATTTATGACGGGTAGTTCTTAAAGTTAACATGAGTATTATGGTGTTATCTGAAGTATCTCTTGTATAAGA